GGTAAGGTCATGAATTGTTGCATTCTTGAGGCTATCATAAATGATCAAATGGTTCTTGGCAGGCAACTGTACTCGTTTGATGTTTTGTTCTTCAGCAAAGTTTAGTGCGAGACCATTATGTGCCCTATCCGTTTGGGCTCTCCTGTCTATCCTCTTGCAGGAAAGAGACTTGCAATTATGCTGCGGTCGCTAGTAACTGTTCCAATGACCTTGACTCGCGCAGCTGCACCAGGGATGCATGTGCGCTTGGATCATCAACGTCAACCCTAGGATCTAATTGGGCGCGCTTGTGAGGTCCACGGAATAGCAGGATTCACATGAACGGAGTTCACACAGCTGCGTGGTTTACAATGAAGAAATTTGAAGAAACATTGATCGCAACTGTCTTGGGCATGAGACACCTCGTTACTAGCCTCATTTTGAAAATGGTCTAACCACACCAAGCATGTATAGGTTGAGCGAGGAATATCTCCTAGCTCGTCTGTCTCAAATGCGAAAAAGCAGCAGCCGTCTTTTTCTTTAGAGACCTAACACACAAGCAAGCGAGGAGCAATCTGGACGGATATGATTGATAACTATTGCATTTTCTGATACTTTGCTCCTTTTGACACTTTAGTTGTGCCTTTTTGAAGTTTCATCCATAGAAATCGACACTGCCATATGCTGAGTTTGTGCTATTATAGTGGCTAGGCAGTAAACTTGCATAAAGTGAGATGAGATAGTGTATTGGGGCAAAATATATCGAGTGTGGAAATCATTAAACTCTCATTTACCTCCTTAAAAGCCAACTTTTGCGCTATTGGCGTGAGCCGACGCATACTACTATGTCTAGCATGAGTAGGTATCGAAATACAGATACTTGACCATGCTTTAATCAATAAAATTTGAGATTTGAGACGATCTGATAACTTATTTTTTTCAGTCCAATTGCTTCTAGAAGGCGAGCGAGATTCTAAATTTTTTACCCGAAACACGATAAAATCGGAATACAGACATGGAGGCAAGGAAGCAACTTCCACCAACCCTTAGTCCATCAGTGTCTTCCACCGTCGAGAGGGATCCATCAGTGTCTTCCACACAGCCTTAATCCCTCTCAACAAATCCCAAACTCAGTTTCAGGTTCTGGATAAGATAATGTTGGTTTGATTTGAAGGTCTTTAGAACCCAACAAAGGCAAATTTGTTTCGCTAATCGATTGGTTTGTGAGTTATCCTCGTGGAAGCATCCACTTTTTGCAAAAATCATGTGGGTTTGAATCATCAAATCAAGGGGTCCCTTCTCAAATCATAGTCAACAGAGGTGAAATGGTGATATAATGGAAAAACTTTTGGAGCAATCTAATCAAATTGAAAACATGGGCTTATAATGCGATGAAACCACCCACCTATGTTTTTCTCTTTTCCTTTTTTCTTTTCTCCCACTGGGATAAGGAGACACACCATCTCTCTCTCCCTCAACACAGCCACGTTGGGGCTTTTTCAGATTCCATCAGAACCACTACTTCAATAATAGCAAACAACACATAGAAAGAATCATCCCTGCAAATGAACTGAACAAGGGTTACTTGGAAGCATCCAGAGTGCGAAATCTAAGCAAACTCGGGTCGTGTCATGCAGAGTGGGAAAATGTACATCGTGTTCTGTGCACAGCCATGGGGGCATCCAGAGTGAAGCAAACTCGGCAAACTCGGGTCATATCATGCAGAGTGGAAAATGTACATCATGTTCTATGCAGAGCCATGGGGGCATCCAGAGTGCGCAACCTAAGCAAACTCGGGTCATGTCATGCAGAGTGGAAAATGTACATCATGTTCTGTATTGAAAATGAAAAACGAGAAATAAAGATGAAAAGTTCCAGCTGCTGCTCAGCTTTAGGGCCATCTCACATACACTTAGCTCAGACCACTCGTCCCCTATACGGATGATGACAACCCACATGAATGCTTGGCTGAGATCACGATCCACAAGATATTTTCGTTGACAGCATCAGGAGATAAACGAACAATTTGAACTTTTTTTTTTTACCCCAACTGTCAAAATTCTATCTAGAAGTGTACTAGCTAGTTTTCTTTAATTATCTTGTTTAAGGCTTTAAAGAAAAAATCCACAGAGACCTAATCCTGTGACAGATAGGTACATGTCACCGAGAAAGAGCATGTTGCTGATATGAAGGAGAATGTGACGCAAATCAATCCCGGATGAGCCTTTTACAAGGTGTGATGACCGGGGACATCAGTTGAAGGGTATGATGAGGGAAACGTTCTGATGAGCTCAACCACCATTTTTTTTTTCTTTTGGGGGGAGGTACAGGGCAGCACCACATGGAAATGAAAGCACTTAATGGCAGGACATCTTTTAGGGTTCATATGCATTCACCATCATCAGTCCAATGGGGTACATTCAACCCATCTTTTTCATAGTTATCGTCTTCCCTTTGATAGCAACCTGAGAACCACCCCAGTTTTCCCCCATTTCATGTGGTCCTGGGTTATTATGCCAGCCTAAAAAGGTCTGTCTCAGCTAGAGAGAGAGAGAGAGAGTGTGTGTGTGTTTGTGTGAGGAGCTTCTTTTTGCTTAGTGGCAAGGACGGCACGTATAAATGGCAAGAAAGGAACACCTAAGAAAGGGATGGTCGTAGCCTGCAAAAGAGGGGCTTTGCTTCAATTGTGGGCAGGACTATTGCCATTTTCGAAGATGAGATGAGATGGGCAAATAGTTGTTAGGGCAACGTATTGATTGGCTAGGGTTTTCTAATGCCTCACCATAAGTACAAAGACCAGCAAGAATCCCTCTGGCGTTGGAAACTTACACAAGAATACTGATTTTTCCTTAGGGTACACCCTGGAGAGTACAAAACACACGATGTGAAAAGAGAGCAAAAAACATCAAACACCCATGATTAAGAACCTTGTACCTACATGAGATGCCATTAATTAAGTGCTCAAAAGTCTCAAATACCCTCTTCAGACCAAGTACAGTCTAGAGAGAGAGAGAGAGAGAGAGTAAAAGATAAGCACGCATGGAGATAAACCAACAGCATGCTCCATGAGAATTGATAGATGTGAGAGAGAGGAGAGAGGAGAGAGAAGAGAGAGGAAAGTTTCTCTTTTTAGTGAAAGCGACTTGCGTAGACTATAGTCAAAGAAGAAATGCGTCCCTCGGCAGGTTCAGCCCTTCAAATAATTGTCCTCGTCTTCGGCTAGATTTCGCCACGTGGAGGCTAGAATTGTGGACAGAAATTCGAGCGCACAAAAATTTATTCCGACACCAGTGTGAAAAGGCTTCACCAATTGCTCTGATAAGCCAATGGCCAAGGATTTCATTAACGAATATCTCCTCGTTAAGCATCTCAATAAATAAAATTTGTCATTTCTAAAACATTATCTTTCTCGTGCGCGTGACTAGTGCGTTTATTATGATAACTTTCTTATCAAGTAGCAGATGCCCGACAACACTCGATAATATCTATCGCAATATTCTATAGGGTCATGTTGCTCGAGGCATATATTATGAAATACGAATATCTCCTCGTTAAACATCTCAATAAACAAAGTTTGTCATTTCTAAAACATTATCTTTCTTGTTCTTATAGTGACTAGTGCGTGTATTATGATAATTTCCTTATCAAGTAACAGGTGCCCAAGAACACTCTCAATAACAACATATGTCACAATATTATATAGGGTCATGTTGCGTGAAGCACGTATTATAAGGATACTCTAATAAAAAGGATTATGTTAAAACACACTCTAGGGCACGTGTTTAGCTATTAGCTAAAGGCATTCTCTATCTTTTGGTGAAATAATTTGACTCGTATCATGTGTAGTCAATGTCATGATCGCTGAGCCGTGCCTTGTAAAAATTATGCTTATGAAGTGTTCTGAGATCACTCTTGAAAGTACTTTATAACAAATTGTGCAATATCGACAACGCATATCTTGATTTAAGTTAGTGATTGAAATTTGCAAACTCTCCTTATTTGATTGCTTAGCAAGTGTTACACTCTTTACTAAAATAGTTTCAGATAACATATGGTGTTTGTCTGAAAATGCACACGTACTTTAGGGGAAAAAACAATATATTCTACTTACAAAAATAGTTAAATTTTTTTTTATGAATAATTTACTAGACACAAAGCGTCGAGAATCAATAAGAGTAGCTCAAAGGTCCGAGCAATAGAGATGCAGAAGTCTTCAAAGCCATGGGAACTCCAAACGATGACCTGACTTTTTAAAATCGCGGAATTGTGTTATTCTACAACTCCGTTCGTATGAATGTCACTTAAATGAATTCATAAGAAAATTCGCCACGCATCATTTTATAAGGGAAAGTCTATTAAACCTCTTCATCGCTTGTTAAATTAGGATCGGATACAAAACCGGATCACTTAACGGTATCTACTCAAAGTTGTATTGCAAGAAATTAATCTTTGTATAAGGTCCTAGTCTTATTTTTTTTGGTCGGGATGTACAAGGTCCTAGTTTTTTTGTTTTTTTGGTCGGTATGTTTAAGGTCCTAGTTGAACTAAGCACTTGCGGCAAGGAAAGCAACCCTAGTGCACAAGAAGGAGAATGTCAAGTACAAATTGGGAGCACAAGGGCCATGATCATCTCTCCCTCTCATTCTTTCTCTGTCCATTGTGGATTCCATGCAACTCTCTTGTTGATTGAAGGGCCTTGAAAGCAGGGGGAACTGAGGGAGTTCAATGTCAATCTATCCCACCAGCAGCTATAACGCGTGAAGTGGCACAATACCAAGACTTTCCCATCCACTCACTTCCCCCACAATATGACTGCCTGTGTTTTCCCAGCTTTCCTTTTCATGCTCCAAAGCTCAAGTGCCAACTTTTGCTCCAGCGAAAAGATGACGCCTTGTCGCCAAGTATATTCTTAGAGTCTGAGTTCTTCATCTACTCACACTCCCCCATTTAAAAGTGTGCCCCTCTCTCCCTCTCTCTCTCTCTCTCTCTCTCTCTCTGTCATGGACACAATGGATATTGCCTCTCTTCTCCATCATCCGCTGTCTTTCTCAAGCTTTTAGTCCTTTTGCCTTCGAAGCTAAAATAGGCAAAAACACACCCTCAATCCAAGAAAATGTAGCTTGGAGCTCTATATCTACTAAGAAAATTCTTACTAGAGCTCTAGCTAAAAGCAAGCAAAGGCGGAAAAAAGAGAGAAAGAAGGAGCGGTAGTTTTTGGGTGTCTCTCTCAATTCATTGTTGCTTCGTGCAGATATTTGGATTGGTGAAAAGGATGGAGCTGTTCCTATAGATAGTACTTTCCTTTTTTTATGTCACTTTCCAACTGTAACCGAGAGCCAGCTGCCAAGTCTAGGGTTGTGTTTCGTGCAATCTCAGCTTGAGGCCCAAAAATGTTTCCCTCAAACAGCAATGGCATTGACCCCATCTCTATTTGGGATGGCCTAACAATTCACCACAAGCCCCTTTCAAGTGATGCCATCCCAAACTCCAAACAAGAAGACCATCTGGTTCCTCTCTTCAACATTCCCTCTCCTTTCCTTCACTACTATCAAGATGACAGCTCCTTTCTTGATGACCTTGACCTCTTACTTCCACGGTCACAACAGCCAGTAAGTAGTGATGATGCGGCAGTGGTAGCTAATAATACACTCACGAGCATGGTGGATCTGAACAGCAGCGTCAATGCAAATGAAGCATCAGCAGGAGGAGGCAATTCGAAGAAAAAACATTCCACTCCCGACCTGGGTCCTAGAAAGAGAACCTCAAAAAAGGATCGGCACAGCAAGATTTATACTGCTCGGGGTCCGAGGGATCGAAGAATGAGATTGTCCCTTGAGGTCGCCCGCGATTTTTTTGATCTCCAAGACATGCTGGGATTCGATAAAGCGAGTAAAACTGTCGAGTGGCTGCTGTTACACTCCAAGTCTGCGATCAAGGAGCTTTCGGGAGGCGTTGCAAAGATGAACAACAGTTGCACTGCCGGTAGCTCATCTTCTACATCAGAGTGCGACGTGGCGTCTGGAATTGATGAGGCAGCCGGTAATGGGGATCACTCGGCCAGTGTCACTCAAGAAAAGCCACCGATTAAGGAGAAAAAGACCAGGCAATCCCGCAGGAATTCGTTTTACCTGCTTGCAAGAGAATCAAGGAAAAAGGCGAGGGCAAGGGCGAGGGAGAGGACCGAGAAGCTGTGGATGCGAAGACTCGATGGACCGAAACCATGTGGTGAAGCAATGAAGACCAACTTGAACAAGAGAAGTAGTCTGTCTGAAACTTGTGAAGAATCTGGTAACCAAGGTAGCAACAACGTGAAAGCTGCCTCCGACTTTCTAGCTCAATCTGAAGAGCCACAGGAGGAGAAGAACCTAGGAACAACAGGACAGATTGTTGATGATTCTTTGGCAATCATGGGCAGGTGGAGCCCAACTTTCAGTTTCAACAATCTTGCAAGCACTGGAATCTCCCAAGAGGTAAGTTTTGAAAAATATTTATTTCATTCACAAAATACCAACTGAATACCGAATTATGTATAGCTCTAGCTTTTATGGTGTTGTAATAAGTGCACTTACATGTGATTCCAAACTATTTGATCTTACTGCCAATTGATCTTCTTTGCAGCTTGAGTTCAGAGAGCTTCATCTCTTTGTCAAAACGTGGGAGGCCTACAACAGTCCGTATCAGTGCTAACGGAATTATGGGTATATTCTCGAACATTTGATGGCAGCTGAATAAATACATGGTGGTAGAAATTGGTGAGGCTTTTTCCTTTGTGTTTGGCATGTATTATAGGCATGTGTGTCACAATTGTACAACTTATGTGTGGACTAGTGTGTTCCTTCAGTAAATTGTCTGCAATAATATGTGCTTCTATTATGTACTTCTCCTATGTCTGACCGGAAATGAAGAACTTAGAAGAATACAATTTGACCCAGAAAGGATAGATAAGGAAGGCTAATTCTCCAATCAAGAAATATTTTCCGCGATTTATCTAAAGCTTCACTCGTTGAAAACCCTTATTTTATCATTGTCTACTCCGTAGAATTTTGAAATAAAGTAATCTGGTGTATCCATTGCATGGAAGAACATAGCTTTTTAGAAGTGATTGACTAGACAAAGGGCACTTAAGTTGTCCACTATCCAATGAACTTGTGTTTCACCAGAGTCCACAGACGGAGAGAAATATCATGATTGTTTGAATACCATCACAGTTGCAGATGCAGATTGCCTAAACTTTTCAAGGAAAATCAAAGCACATACAATTGCAAACCACATGAAAGAGATGCAATATAAGAACATAAAATGGAGATGAAATTATGTACCTCGGTAAGTGCCTTAGATGCCTCTCCATGAAATTCATCCGATGGTCAATATAATTTGAGACCATTTAAAGATTATTATGCAACTCATAGAAATCTATTCATCTTCTTATTCTCAAAATGATGTCGCTGTGACAATCAAAAGAAAGTTTCAGTCTAGAAAAGCATATTGTAGTGAAAGGAATTCACATCATTTAATCTGTACATGTGATCTTACGATGAAACCAAGGAGAATAAAACAGAAACTAAGAAAATTAGAGTGATAAGGTGGCTGAGCCTGAGTTCCTTTGTTATCAGTTATTGCAAATTTCTGATAGTAAGACCTTCCAAAAACATGATTTCATTACATCCAGAAAAGTATGAGCTGTGTTACTTCATGTGATGGTTTGTTAACACAAGAAACACATGATTAATATACTCAGCTGCTGATGATCAAATGCATACGTATTTCAGAAAATGCAAAGCGAAGATGATATAGTGATTGCTTAAAGCGTTGTAATGGTTGACCAGAAAAGAATGGTTCCGTTCCTTGTTATCGATTCTGTTTTGAAAGAGAAGAGCTCCTACTGATCCTCAGCACCTTTATGCACCTCAGCAGTTAAGTGGTTAGGGATGGATCCTAGTAGCTAGTTTAATTGGCTAGAGTACGTAAAAAATGACATGATTTATAAGCTTGTTTTATGTTAAAAAAGTCTTTGAACTAAAGAGTGCACGATCAACTTGCTTTAGCCTCGATACTGATTGTTTGGCAAGGAATCAAGGAGTTACATTCAATCGTGCCACAATTAGATAAAATAAATATGACATCTTTTGGCTTTCTTTTCCAAATAGTAAATGTTGCAGACTCACTATCCAGAATTTTAACTAAGTTTGTTTCTCTTATAAGCTACTTGCCTTTAAATGTAGATGGGATAATGACACAAATGGTCCTTAAACTTTGGCCTAATGAGCAATGTGATTCCTGAACTTTCAATTTGTTCGATGCGATCCCTGAACTTTTGCCCAATGTGTAATGTGGTCGTTGGATTTTTGGTACATGTTCAACTTAATCATTGAACTATATGAAAATGTTCAATATTGTCCTTCCAGTAATTCAAGTTCAGGGACAACATTGAATATTTTCATATAGTTCAATGACTAAATTGAACATATAATAAAAGTCTAGAGACTACATTGAATAAATTAAAAGTTCTTGAATCACATTGCATATTGGGTAACAGTTCAGGGACCAAATTGCATATTGGGCCATAGTCCAGGGATCATTGTGTCATTTCCCCGATGTAGATATATGTGTGAACCATCGAGATACCAGCACATGATACCCCTACATAATATAAACCAAATATTTCCAACAAAGAAAAGATGTTCGTCACATTTTTAGAGATGAAAACTCTAATTAACAGGATTCCATGAGCATTTCAGACACTATTTGTTCTAAAGAGCACACGAGGGCACCAATTTAACTTGCAATTCGTAGCTACTGTTTTGAGGACAGTAATATCAAAACAAAGTAAAATAAGCGGGAGTTCAAAATGACAAAATTAGCATTGGTCATCTATTGGCAAACATCAGACAGTGAGCTTTTCACTAAAACATTTCCGTGAATAAAATTTTGGACGTGTTTTAGCATATACTTAAGCTGCATTCATCATAATTCTGAACACCTAATTAAGGGGAGCTTTGAGTAGAATCGGGGCTTTGTGACATAATAGCCAACCAATCAACACAGACAACCAGCCGAGAATATTCATCAACTTCATTCATAAGTGTGATCAGCAACTATATATACCTATTGCTTCATTCTGGAGACGTTTTTCCTGTCGTTGCGTTTATACCCTGACAAAATTGAGAAGCAATATGTTTAAATGCAAGGCATGGCAGAATAAACGAAACTTATGTCATAAAACGACCTACAAGATATATTAATATATAGGACTATACAATGCATTCTCTAATAAATTAATCATCTTAGCCATGACCTTATGAATCGTGTAGAACTAAGAAACATGATAAATATCAATTGCATAAAATTTGGATTGCTTTTCATCTATATTATGTTACTAATTTCAGGATATTGATTTTGTACAACCAACTCAATTTCTTAAATAAGGAGAATCAATGTACATAAGGTTTCTATTTTAATGGCATCATCCAAGAATCTGGGCGGATCGATCTCATGATGGTCAAATATATGGCATCTCCTGTAAGATGTCAATATTGTCTATACCACCAAGGAACAAAGCCACTTTGTCCATTCTTCATCCTTTTTAAGGATTCAAAGCAATTTCAATGTCTTCCTCAGGAATGGAAACAGTACGATCTTTTAAGATTCTAGAGTTGCTGATCTTAGGATAGGTGGAACATGTGGGGAGAGGGACTAGCTTTATACTGTGCTTGCTCACTGAAGCATCAGTGGACGACATTTAGCTCAAGCCATAAGAATACATAAAGATTTTGTCCTCCAACAATTATGATGAAAAACGAATTTCTGTAAGCTGAGGTCCACCATCTTTATGTTGTGCTCTGCATTTTGACATGTTTTGATGCTCTCATGATAACGTTGTTTGATGCTTTTTCAGCCACGCCCCTTGATTTTGCCTTTGAGCCTTATTTCTTATCTTATTTGCTTTTACTTATAAATGATATTCAACGGAAAAACATGAGCCGCATCTTCACCGTGTGCTTATAGGGCTTGTCATCACTTGCTTAAGTCCTTTGATACTATTTAAGGGCTTGCAAATAGCATAGTTGGTCTTTGGTACAATAGCTAAAGGTGTTAAAGACATAACAAATTAGAGGTTTATGGGTAGTATAGTAAAGGCTGACTCTGCTGTTTCAAGAAACTCTGTTGCATGATCCTTTCTCGGACTGGTCTTCTCCATAAAATCTGGATCCGTTGAAAATCATGTTCCATTAACGTTTCTAAGGAGATGCTTAGGGAGACTCGTTAATTTGACTCCTACTTCTTGTCCATATCTGTTGTTCTAATGCGACACTCACACCAAGTCACTCCAGATAATTCACGTTTACATGGGAGCACTCTTTTTCCAACATTTTACCCCTAGGGTCACTGGTACATGAGACATGAGCAATACTTTGCTTACCTCAACAAGAAAGTACTTTATACATGAACGATGTGACGCATTAACATAAAATATGTGAATACAGCCAATGTATTTACTAGTAATATCAGATTCGCATGTTATATGGTATCGACGATTAAAATAGTTACCCCCATTTCCAGACCGTATTTGATTGTGAATATGTCATACAAAGAATGAAAGGACAAAAGGAGCTGTAGGACTTGGGCAATGTGAGCATGGAGTTGATCAAGGTAATTTTAAGACAGCCAACACACAAGTGAAGCAAGGAAGATCAGAAAATCATATCAGTATTTCACTTCATATGGTCATGACCAAAAAAGTCTTGGCAGCTAACTAATTGGCAATAGGGTAGGATAATTCTCTTGGATATATGATCAGTAGAACTTTATGCGTCCAAAGGTGAACAATATCTGTAGTAAGAGGACGTGTACAGCGGGCAAGAATTTGCTATTAGCAGCAATTTATGGTTTCGAAGCCCATCAGCTCATCAGTACTATAGTTTTGCATCAAATTTATGAACAACCTCCCTTTACTCAATATGAATATTAGTCTAACAAGGAAATTGCTTGCTTCGACTTTTGTTACCTAAATCCCAAACCTAAGCACGTAGTTGAGCCAATTATTAAATGGGACTCACAAAATTTACCTTAGCGCTTCCCAATCTATTTTCATGAAAAACATCATTTTCACAAGCATCGGAGCATAGTACATTTTAGTACTAAATTCCATCCTCAACATAGATTTAGAAATTATTTGGTATAGCTTTGCTGCAATAGCTTTACATGTGAAAAGAAGTGTTGCGACTTTTATAAGATATTTCGCAAGTATCTCACGGCAGCTTTTAAGAAGCTGCCTCATTAAAGTCACGGTGCTTCACAGCATAGCTACAACACACTATAGTTCAGTTACAGCTATTCCAGACGGGCTCTCAATAAGGAAATAAAAGAGAATTTGGAACGTCGTTCATAGTAAATTACAACATAGCACAACTCGAGATTAGTTACAATTATACGAAATGAGACTTCATCGAGGAAATGAAAGAGAAATTGGCATGTGGGCCCTCATAGGATAGCACATCGCATGATTAAGTACCGAAGAAATTCTAAAAATAGAATTATGGTAAAGATATAAAAAACTATGACATGAAAAATGTAGACGGATAGTCAACAGAATTCAGGAGAGAAAAATTCGAATTGACGTCAAATACTTAAACAACATTGAAGACCATATGGAAAAAAAAAATGGAGTTCTGTCGACAGCTCCAGGAGAAAAGACAGAAAATGCAGAATAAAGTTTTTCGAACAGCAAATATCTAGGATGAACATCTAAATCTATCTTACTCTTCCATGCTGATCTTAGAAATTAAAGATCCGCATAGCAGCCGGAAGAAAAGAAAGCAGAACATCATGTGCATATCTAAATAGCAGGCTCTAGATGGTCATATTATGAAGCGAACCATGTTTGAGATCCACCGACTCTCCAGCACGATGTACTTGACGTTAGGTTTAGATTTTCCTTTTTCATCAAACCAGACAGATATTCGCCATGGCTCACTATTATTGGCATGAAGATCTAGAAATAGTTTACTAAAATAAAAAAAATCCTCAACCGATCTCAAGCATGTCCAGCCACCGAATTTTCCATTAGATCTCCTCAAGTTTATCGAGTTTATTCAGAAGAAAGAACCAAAGATCAGGCACACCAGAACCTCAGAAGAGAGAGAGAGAGAGAGAGAGAGAGAGAGAGAGAGAGAGAGATCTTCTCCAGCTCCTAAAGCGCAGATCTCACCAAAACCACTAAACGGTGCCCTAAAATGGTAGAAAGATCTTCTCCAGCTCCTCAAAGACAACTTTTTTTTCTAAGAAAACATTTTCAGACAAAATTAGCTACAAGCTGTGGGGTGGGCGTGAACACCCCCCCCAAAAGAACCAAAAGAAAATTGAGAAGACAGCAAAAATACTTTTTGGAACCCTAGAAATGGGGGATGCTGCTACCAACCAATTGGGCAAAAAAACAAAAGGGAAGAAGATGCCATAGCAGTCCTCCTCATGAGATGTGAGAATATTTCACCGTTGATGCCGACAAGAAAAGAGACAAGACCCACAAAGAATATAGTATAATACCCACCACCAAAGACAAAGGAAGCTGAAGCTGCCAACAAACCGTCCAAAGGGGGAGAATCATGATCACTTTCGAAAACCCTAAGGAAAGCCCTCGGAGAAGGAAGGTCGGAAGCAGAATAACAATTCAATTCCAGGGGAAAAAAGAACAGGAAAAGAAGGCGTTTCTTGCGCTTAGTACAGGCTCTGGAAAAGATGCGCGTCTCAGAACTGATCTCGACCGTCAAGAAGTAGATTTGGATGGAGAGAGAGAGAGCAGTGATCTTCCGAACAGTTCAAATTGTTCGCCAGAAACCCTAAGAGAGAGAAACAGCACGAGGAGAGAGAAAAACAGGGGGATGGAATCCATGTGAGACTCCAGAAAGGCTCCAAGAATGTGAGGATGTCGGACCAACTGGAAGGTGAACCGTGCAAGGCAGGAGAGCCAAAGGGAAGTGACCCATGAGAATAATCAAAGGGCACTCAATATAGTGGGGGTGAGCCTATGATCCCTCATAAATATCCCTCATATATATTGTCCACTCCGCGGATTTTCACCCTTAGATCGAAAAGCAGTACTACAATCATCACGTCAGATACATTGAACGGCTAAAATTAAAACCGACATGGAATCGACATCACTCTTACTTTTGTAAGCTTGGTGTCACTTTTTTTTTGGAGGAACTTTTGTCCTGTTCACACCTGCACCAGAACCCTTATCTGCCCTAAGTTCTAAGGGAATCTGGTGGACTGAGAAGAAAGGAAAAGGATCCCTTCAGATTAATTGGGGGCACTTCATTTTTCAATTTTCTCTTTTCACGAGTAAAATGGACAATGTAGTCATTCTTCATGAATCATCAACAGCTACGACAATTAGATTTCCTAATTTAGCACGACACAAAAGAAACCCTCGCGACCTTAATTAAATTTAAGAATGTTTTGAATCAATGTCGGGGGGCCATGAGGGTTGTTATTAGGATTAGTATAGAAGTAATATGACAAATTGTTTAATAAATGTTCATATTCAAGTTGTCAATCAGAGCTAGCCTCACCTCGCGAGTAATACTCTCTAATCTACTTATCCAGCACATGGTCTGTAAATCAAGAAGGGTATGCCGTATGGGCTTTCCTAAGGAAAAAAATTTCTTCTTTTCTAATGCCCTTAATAGACTAAAAGCCAAAAAGGACACATTACTAAAGAAAGAATCTTTGCATGATTAGTGTTATTTTGAGAAATACTTAAATTTGAATGTAGAATGTATGAGAGATGCATGGGACATTATAAGAAGCTGTGTAGACCATTTTAAGTTACCATTTTACCCATTATTAACTTAATATATTACAATCATCAATCTTATAAGGGCATGCGCTTTATTGAAATTTTGTGCAAAATTCGTTCCTCATATGGTTGCTCGGAAAGTATTTCGAAGGCAGTTGTTAACAAAATATAGAGATCACATTTATGACATGACAGTCCTTTCCTTCGGCGCTAATTTCGATTATAGTTGCTTAGTGTTGCAGTCCCATTACCTTACTCGGTATGGTAACTTGCACTTCTTCGAACGAGTACTCTACCATAGAATTTGCTCCGTCTATACCAGCGGCATTAAAGAACAAAAACAAACGAGACAGAGATGACAAGTTGAGAGTGGAATGATTGACTGTAAATCAAGCGAGGAGGATGTGCAGAAATGAGACGGCGGAAGAAATCCGAAAAGAAAAGAAAAGACTAACCATTAAAAATCTAATTATTGAGTTGACTAAAAAGTTCCTGATTACCATAACATTCTTCAAAAGATTTATACGTGTTTCTCAACAAAGCCGTTGGCTCATGAAATTCAATTGCCGTCATTAGTTCGTTTAATTGGCATATGGAGAAAAGATTTACAGGCTCAATTAATTGCACACGGCGACAAATCCTATGTCCAAATCTAGATTTTTCAAAATAATTCATAAATTCAATTCTTAACTTATATTTGATAAACTAATATGGATTAATTATATCTCGTAAATGGGTCAGAAATGAATTTAGAATGATAAAACCCAAAATAGTATGTGTTAAATGGATTCACAGCTTATTTAGACTCAAATTATCTCTACGACTTTCTCTTCACTTTCTTGCTCTCACTCAATCTCACACTCCCTTGCTCACTCCACGCTCTCATGTTAGTTTATATATGATTTTTCCTAAATTTGGTTAAATATAGAAGTATTTTAGCAATGTGAATTAGGTTGTGTATGGGTCATTAAATTTGTATTACATGAAAATGGGTCAATTTGGATCGAACCATTTTCGACCCGATCCAAATCCACCTATTTGACTGGTTTTACCAAACCTAATATAGAAATCATAGATAAGAGGTCCAGGGTCAAAGGGACATGTGATTCAAATTCCCGTGATCTTATCAAACAAATTTGCATCCAGTGAGATCCATACGTTACAGGAGCTTCCTCTGGGTTATGAGTTTTATTGGGCTCTCAAGGAACTTCATGGAAGAAATTTTGCGAATAGCTGTGATTAAATTGGCTTGGAGCGGTTCATTGGATTATATTTGGCATGCTCGAAGTGATGCACTTAGGGAAGGCATCTTCACACGTTGGCAAGATTGTTAAGTTGGTGCTCTCAAGAGAATTTTATTCTTCCACGTGCAATTCGTAAATTTTCAATAAGTATTTAACCATGACTTTAATTTTTCAATCTTGTTGGTTAATTTCCCAACACTTTTTATGAAATCGCCAACTTCTTTTAATATCTTACGAACAAGTCGAATTTTGTTCTAATACTTACCAATTCTTATTTGCAGAATTTACCAACGTTTTGATTTCACAAACTTTTATATGAAAAATACCAACATAAATTAGAGTGATTATCAACTATTGTCATATTAAAAACCAACTAGTTTTAGCTTATCAACTATCATTTGAGTTAGCTACAAATGTTTAGTTATTCGTTTTTTTTAATTTATTGACTTTCAATTGAGTTGTAAATTTTTATTTGCCTTGTCAAGCAGCCCTACATCATTTACTAACGTTTTTTGAGTTTATTAATCTAAATTAGCATGACTCGCCAACTTTTCGGCCAATAAATTACCAACTATTATTGGGTTACCAACTCGACATTTTTTTATTTTTTTCTAATTTTGCTAATATTTCTTATCATTTACAAGTTTTTATTTGCATTTTTCTTAGTCATGTCTTAGAGTTACCAACTTTTTCTCTTTTTAAGTTACCAACTCTTTTGACCAAAAAAAAACTTACCCACTCGTTGTAGATTATCAAATCTCAATCGTTCTGTTTACCAAGTTTAGTTTTCTTTTAATTACCATTCTTAATTACTCCTTAATTTACCAACTCTTATACGAAAGTACCAACTTTAATTTAATTGATTTATTAATTATTTCATGGTTAAGTTATCAACTAGTTATTGGGTCACCCAATTTTATTTTAGCTAGTTATGAATGTTTGTTTAGTTCCTTTTCATTTATCTACTTTTCCATTCGTTGCTTAGTTGGGAATAAAGTTGGTAAATCACCAAATAAATGCTTGTAATTTCAGATGATAGTTGATAATTTAAGGTGTCAATGATAAAATTGAATACAAGTTTGGAATAATAAAAGAAGGTTTTCTTTTATAAAAAACAAGAGAAGTTGGCAATAAAAAAATCAAATAAATGTGGGCAAGTAACTCAAGTACGAGTTACTAATGCAAAATTAGCCAGCAATTCAATCGTAAAAATAGTCGGTAAATAGGGAAAATATAAATGATGACTCAACAGTAAGTTTGCTGAATTTAAATAAAATAAATAAATCTCGGTAAGTAACTCAAACGAGAGTTGGTATACCAAAGATTTAGTTGGTAACTTTATTGTAGAAAAGTTGGCAAGTCACCCAAAAAAAAAAATTGGCAATTTCATACTATGGTCAATCAACTGAAGGCGATGCTAAGAAAAGTATATGAAATAAAATTGGTAAAAGACAACAGAAAATTTATTTGATAGAAATAAGAGAAGTTGGCATTAAAAAATAAGGAGTCAAACAAACATTGGTAACTAACTCGAATAAGAGTTTGTATTTAAAAAAAAACAGATAAACATCAATAAATAACTCAAATAGGAGTTGGGAAGGAAAAACTAGTTTCCAACTTCATCGAATGAAAATTAGCAATTGCTCTAATTGGGGTTCGTAATTTCTAAAAAAAAGTTGGTGAATTTAAAACTGGCAAACAAGGTAAATAAAGATAGTATCTCAATAGAAACATTGGTGAATTAAAGAAAAAGCAAATAAACGTTGGTTATAAGCAACTCAAATGAGAGTTAAAAATCCAAAACTAGTTGATAACTTAATTGGAGAAAAATGACAAATCACTAAAATAAAAAGGCCGATGATCTCATATAATAGTTGGCAATTTTAAGGTGCTCAAACGAAAAGTAAATTAAGTTTGTAAATAATAAGATAACTTTAATTTTTATCATATGAAAGAGAGATTAGTAATTTTTCAAAAAAATCAAAATAAACGTTAGTGACAGGCTCAAATAGTAGTTGGCGACACAAAAGTTGTTCGTAACTTAATCAGATGAAAATTGGTACTCTCTCTAATTAAGGTTTGGTCATTTCTAAAAAGGGTTTGGTAAATTTTAACGGGTTGGCAACCACGGTAAATAAAAAAGCCGGCGACGTTATTGAAAAGTCGGTAAATTTAGAAAATAAAAAATCAAATAAACAAGGGTAAGCAACTCCGAGACTTGGTCGATCAGAATTAGCTGGTAACTCGATGGAAGAAAAGCAAAAAATAAAGATTGGTAAGTTTATATGACGAGTTACCTGAGAATGTGTTATGAGATGAGAGAAGAAGCAAAGAGAAGCGGGCTAGGAAAATGGACAGATAAGGCCCAATGAATTAGGCCTATATTCAGAATAGGTCTCCAGAAGCCCCACTCCATCAGCCTTTAAAATAGCGGTGGTGGGGGGGCCCCTTCCTGAATGAAAACGCGAGCGGGCCCCACCGCTGGCAAGCTGGACTTGGCCGATTTTCAGCCGTCCGTGGAACTTAGCCTAGGCTGTGTGTAGTAGTAGATCTGGTAGTCATAGATGAAAGGGCCTATAAGGCCGTGCAAGTAGTAGTGACCAGAAGACCTACTCAAGGCAAAGGGGGGTTCCATCACAATGACTGTACATGTTAGACATAGTATCGGGTAGGGGCCCGACAGCAACGATAAACATTAGACCCCAAATCTTTTTGAACAATGACCCCCAAAAAAAAAAAAAGCTCCTTATCCAGCCCCGTGTATGGTAAAAAAAAAATTAAAAATCAAATTCTACCGATATCATTTTTGTTTTCCCCGAACATGGTACAAATCTTGTCATCAACCGGCTCTAGGAACTTATCGAAAGTATTAATCAAGAAGATTTTGATTTTTCAAAGTATTGATTGCACATGATTTTAATTTTTACTTTAGAACATTTTTAGCGTTCAAGAAGTTTGCAATAACTTCATGAACGCTAAAAATGTTCTAAAGTAACCGACTTCTTGAATGCTAAAAATGTTCTAAAGTACTTGATTAACAAAAGAAAAATGAAAAAAAATGCCCCTACGTCACTTGTTGTGTCTTATTAAATATATCTTTGATAATGTTACACTTTTAATTTGAAGACAGACACTTGTTCTTTCAAAGCGTTCTTCTCTAAATTTTCAATGTCTGGGAAAAAAAATGTTATTGCTCCTTTTATTTGACGTAATCAGTACCCGAGGGTTACTTTTCAAGATCCCTTAATCAAAGTTTTTATTTTTATTGAAATTCATTAGGGCATTTTTTATTTTTAGGTCAAATTTTCACCTTCAATCTCTTTTCCAGAACTATGGGGCAATGACAGCCCCTCTTGAGTTTTTCTGATTTTATTGCATTATTTATTATTATTATTATTATTATTATTATCATTGTTATTTGACCATCCACCATGGACAAACAACAATGCACAACAATCTCTCCTTCTATATAAACTAAACAAGAGAGAGCTCAAACATTAAGACCTAGTCTATGAGGCTCTTCAAGCTATATAAACTTATTTGACCACAACAAACCCCTAATATTAAGAATTCAAGTTTCATATATTCACCAGTGTGTTTTGATATGACTGATACCGTGCAATGGTATGTTATGGTTAACAGCAACATATACAAACCCCGGGAAGATGCAAATATACAATACTTAAAGCATGAGTAACTAGCCTAACACATGAGAAGTTTAAAGTATGATCAATCAAAAAATCATAATCAAATTAAACTTGCTTTTACTCGCCGGTACCCTCTAGTTTCAATCTTGGAACGAATGGGAAGAGTAGAGAAGTATAACAAAATGGAAAATAGAGCATACGTCCCTCAGGTAAAGGAAATTGCAGATAAGCGAACTTATTTACTCTTGATTTAAGGATTATAACTACTCGCTCTCAAATTAATTGTCTGTAAAGCTATTTGTATAAAATCTTCTTTACACCGTGAGTACGCTATAATTACTCCAACAACATGTTCAATATTTGGGAAAGACAAAGTGATATGACGAGTAAAACAGAAAAGGCTTTAGAACGGCATTTCTTGTGCTTACCCCAGAATTGTGCAGCTCCATCTGGTGCCAGAGCTTCACACGTAGACAGGGACTGAAAATAAGATGATAGAGGAAAACCCATAAGTATATTGACAAAAACAAAATGAGATTAGACGCCAGTACCAAGAACTCAGATGAAACTCAGTTTTGCCATTACTAATTCATTACCGAAAACTTAATATACCCTGCAACGCTCGTAAAACAAAGTTTCATGACAAATCTGATTGATGAGATGTTATTGTGAAATTCATACGGAAATTGTAATAAGAGTGGTTGACTTCACTATCCATTTTGTCTACCATCCCCTTCAAGCTTTTAGAGATCTTTTAAGGTGCACAGGTGCGTATCGTCTCTTAGCTTTGGGTGGGATTTTTTTCTGACGCCAGTATTAGAATGGACGTAGTCGAATCTCAACCTTCAAATATATGAACCCTCTCGATTTGGTGTTTGAGACGACTAAAAATATGGTGTACTAAATCTAGATAAGATTTTCACTAATTGCAGTAAACCTCATGTGAGACTAACTTCTTGATTTAAGATATAATTGTACACGCATCCGTTGTGTAGCATTTGCAGAATTTGATCCTTCACCTCCATATTTTATCTCAATGTATATCCGCGTCTCCTCATAATATTCAGTAATAACGTCAAAACCTTTAACAAGTGACACGAAGCTTAAAAGAGATGAAAATATCTCCATGCTAGTCAGTGCACCAAGTAATAAGTCCCCTTTAACAACGACCAAAAGCCCATTTCCACTCTTTGAGCACGAGTATATTTGTGGGTGGGAGAGAGAGAGAGAGAGAGAGAGAGAGAGAGCACCTCTAGGCTTTCTAAACCTTCTTCTTTGTTGAATGCAGGGAATGGCTTCCATGGCGAAACTGTGCCAAGAACCACTCTCAAGAAAGTGGAGGAGCTCCATGCACCACCTTCAGGGCCAAGATTAGAGAGAATCAGAGCTAGCTAATTATGGAAGTAGACCAGACCGCGACCCATCTAGCGAAAAAAGCGAGGAAACACGAAGCATTACTCAAGGCGTGGATTTTTTCCTTGCGTGCGCGACCCGCCACTATAGTCGTGCAGAGACGAAGATTGTGTCCAAATGAGTTAAACAGTAACACCGACATGCACAGGATCCCTAGGGGCAGCCTTTTCCTTCATATGGTTGTTACCCCGGAAAGCGCAAAGCCCAGGCTTTCATGACCTATTTTGCAGAGTCAGGTTTTCATAGACAGGGCCGTACACAATGCCCCCCTGCAGTACTCACTCACCCGGGAGAGCCGCTCAGGTCTTGACTTGACTCTTTGTTGCCAATTCTTTTTCTTTTTCTTTTTTTTCTATTACATCTAATCAGCAAAATCTTGAGATGGAAAAGAAGTATCATAAAAAAGGAGAACAGGAGAGAACGACGGTTGCTGGAATTGACGTGGTGTTTTGGATGAACTTGAGATACGATGTCGACAAATCAGGCCAAGAGGAGCCGTCGCTCTCTTTCCTCTGATTTTGGCTTTTAATTCCGTGTTTGCTTGGTTGTCTTCAGCGCAGATAGAGATCCGGCGGAAAGGCTGTGCGTCTTCACCTTCAACGGACGATGGGTCATGTCAGCCTTGCCGATGCCGCCGATGCCATCGACGGAAGTGGATCGTGCCATCCTTGCCGCACATGCGTGAGGCCCCGACCCTTGACCCTCGACCCTCATGCCATACTCGTGCAACCGTTGCCGACGCTGCCATCGACTCTGACGGACGAAGTTTGTCGTTTCACTCTCCGCCTTTGCTTTCTTGTTTCTATTTATCTTTTTTGTTAAACGATATTTTCAGACTTTCAAAAGCTTTATAACCGGTATCGATACCAATCCAATAAAGTTATCACCACCACTGATCAATGGTCTTTTGAAGTGGCCAGTATCTATTAGAAGCGTGAGAGCAATTGTCCTGAGCATTGCCCTATCCCAGAAACTAGGAGCACTGAAACCGCTAGTTCAAAAAAAAAGAGAGTAAAGAAACAGTAGAGTAGGAAGCAAGAAAAAGTGTAAAAAACTATACTGTACTTGTATTCCAAATTAAGGTGATGATACAAAAGTTGCCCTCCTTAACATCTAAGCTTTCTGACCAAAAAAAAAAAACATCTAAGCTTTTAATTTTGACATAGGACTTACTAGGGAAAACATAGTTAAAGGGGGTATACAAACCATTTAGTTCCTAAGTTTTAGTGGTTGTACAATTTAATGCTTCAATTTTTACTTTATGCAATCAAGTCCTCCAATTTTTTGAATTTATCTAATTTGGTCTTCTAGATTGTATTTTGAACAACAAATTCTCTAACCATCTTTGATTAATACAATTTGAATTTTTTTTCTTATTATTACCATTTTGGTTTTTTTGCTCATTTGGTGGCAAATGAGTAGTAGGTGTCACTTTTTGTCACATGAGCAATGTCACGTCGCTATTTGATTTGACAATGAGTTAAATACATATTTATTGTTTTAAGTTTCAGCTTTGTACAATTTGGTCATTTAATTTTTGTTTTTCTTCAATCAAAGTTTTCTAACTTGTTGGATTTATGCAATTTCATATTTTAAGTTATATTTTATGCAGTCAAACCCTCTTTAACTTTTTTCAACTTAGAATTATGTACACGAGTGTAAGTGGAGCTACAGCATTTACGCACCTCGCAATCACGTGTCCTGGAAGCCTTCCGATGTACGAGAAAAGGACTGCCTCAGACTGTCGGGGGAAGTAGGGAGGAGCAGCTATTTTTGACTAACTGCATCCTCCTCCAAGAACACTTCCAGAAACAAATCTCCAAGCCCTCCTAGCAAAAATCCCCAGCAATTACTGCGGGAGACATATCTCGCTATATTTGGTAGATCTCCATGTGGGTTAGCCGTAAATCTGTCATTCGCATCCTAGCATGGTACACGAATACAGGAACATGATTAATAAAGAGTAGATAGCCGTCGTACAGGAACCTAAAGAAGACAAAAGGCAAGGAATTGTTCCTCGGTAAGAACTCAGAGCTCACCAAGAAGAGAATGGTGCACGTCAGGCTGCATGAGATCACGGGATACTAAGTAATCATATAAAACGCACAGGCTGACTATCAATAAAAACCCCCCAGGATATTATCTCCGCATTAGTTAAATTGATGTTTCTTCGGAAAGCATGGGGTTCCATATTCCAAATAACAGCATGCGCAAAGAACAATGGTAAAGCCTCCTTTATCGCACAGGCCATAGCAGCAGATTACAATAGTTCATTTGCTAGACCAACAAGACATCATCTAAGCTTGAAAACAGACAGACTAACAGCGGCATAATGAGTTACCCAAAATTTTCGACTAAAACAGGGGTATGATTGATTTCAAACAAGTCAAAAATTAAGAATGGTCAAAGGGATCACAGGGCTCAATGAGGAAACATGGTCATGATACTCGGAATAGAATGGAAGTGGGGTGGTCGCAAGGGCACTCGCATGCGTGTGTTTTTTCTTAAGTATCTTAGCTTCATGATCACCCCCTCAACTGACTAAGGATTGAATATCTTAGCCCGTAAACATGGGAGTTAGGACTGCTGCTCAGGTAGTCGTACAAATATTCAGATAGTCCAACTATTAAGAATGTTCACCAAGCCAAGCATTAACTAAAAAGGCAACTACACAAATAGGGTTGGCAAAGAAAATTTTTCTCGCTGGGAACCCGGAAACATGGTTATCTTCAGAAAATTGCAAGGCAATTCTTACGGAATGTCTTTTTTTCCCGCTAGAACAATTCTTACGGAATGTATAATATCAAGGAAGAAAGCTCTTGCTCAAAACTGGAGAAGATAGGATTCTAGAAGAACTCAGGATGCTTCTTAATTTAGTTATACATCCATCTAACTTTGAAAGAGAAGAATTGTTTGCTCAGAAAGTACATATGATGCATTGCAATTGCATCAGAAACGGAAGGTAACAAAAGGAAAAAGGTAAAAAAAAATTCGGTAACCAATTAAAAGCCTATATCAAAGGAATCAAGAAAACTCTGTTCCTATATCATTGACATCATCAGGCCATGTCAGTGTCATTCAATCCAAAAATTCAATCGTGACTCGACAGGCAACTTCATACTTCAAGACAATGATGCAAGCCACTTCAACTATGAGAAGAAAAATATCAATGCTTAATCAAAATTAAATTTGTACACTGATGCATAAAAAAAACAGTCCCTTATTACTCTACATTACAGGACAGTACCTTTACTTCACCTCACCTAAGCTGAGAGCGGCCAGCCCCTGGCAACAAGATACAGTCCGCTGACCAACCTCATGTAGTCTGCTTCAAGAATTGGGAGCAACGAAACTCAGGACTCAAAGCAAAAGGTGCCAGAAATGACCACATAGAGCAAGTTTCTATTCTGGAATCTAATACATCGTGCAAATTTGAAAGTATGGGGAGAAGATCTCGTGTCGCACAAGCTGCAAGCAAATTCTGCCCGTCTGATTGAAATCATTGAATCCTCTGATTTCAGCAGGTTGTCCTCGCAGTTAATGCCATCTCCATTTATGAAAGGCTGATGTTGAAATTTCTGCGGTGAATGGAAATATGGCCAAATGATCCACATGTTGCTGTCATTAATCTTGACATCTAACTTTCTGGCAAGTTACTCATGAGTGTACCTTATTCTGTCCTTGAACGTGCGTTACTCAAATAGCATGTAGCCAGCAGGAGCTACTGAAACATCGGTTCGCAACAGCTAAGTGAGTCAAGATGCCTGACTGTGCACCTTATTTTCGAGCACATTGTGCAAGGCATCTGATGGAGCCCCATCAAAGTTAGATGGCAAGAGCTGGAGAAAGATGATGCTGCAAAAATAGATAATCTGCACTGTCAAATTCCGAATACAAAGTCAATTGTTGAAATTGGCCTAAATGAAAGGCGACAATTAGCTAACTATATATGAGAAGAACACATCTATAAGATTGCAATTATACTAAAATGTGGTACAACTATGCTCAATGTTAATGCATAAACGAGACTACGCTATATAATCAATTGCCCTTGGGCCCCTCCAATTCCTTTTCAAGACTGAAATCCTGGAAGTTTGATCAAGAGGCTCTTCAATATATATATATATATATATATATATATATATATATATATATATACACACACACACACACTTCAAAAGGCTTGCAAAAGGCTTGCAGCATCTGCAGCAGAAGGTCCCTCTTTGAGCACGTGTCGATTGGAAATTCCAATTGCTTTTGTTCGAAGCAATTTCCAAACAAAGAGACAGAAATTAGGATGGGAATTTGTGGCCTAGTGGCAATTGGGTTGGAAGTGCAAGCATGAATTTCAACATCCTGAGGCTCATCAAGTTTACCAGGCGTAGGGATAAACTCTGTTCTAATTGTTTCTCTGAACCAGAATATTGATTCCTTAATAGGACGAAGAGTGGACCACTTCCAATCTATGAAGTACAGAAGAATCCATCAATATAAAAACTTAGACCTCCTTACAACTTTTGTTCTTTTGAGCCATCGTTACAAAAACAAAAACAAAAAAAAATAAAGCAAAATTTCACGGGGAGTTGCTTATGATCAGATTTAAAAGGATTCAGAAACAGCTAGTCAAACAATAAAAACTCGAGAAGAAAGATACACGCGGACAGAAAGCGAGCTAAAGTGTTCTGCTGATTCGCTAGTTGTCCTCACAAATACTAGAAGAAAACAGAGAACCGTAAATTCAAGAATCCGTATCGACGTAGCCGACGTAATCCACCGCTCTGCAGAATACTGGAAATCACACAGAGATTGGCAGCTTCATTGATAATCTACACCAAATTCCCAAGTCATAAAATCGGCGAAAACGCAAACCACGAAAGGAAATTGAATATAAAAACGCGAGCGCTGATGAGAGAAAGAGATTCAACATCTAAACAAAATTTTCAAGCAGTTAAAGTAGTTGAAGACCAAACTAGAAGATCAATGACTCGAGGCGCGAAGCAGCTCTCTAGATTTAAACAGCTAGAATTTCGTTCCGATTTGGAAATCGCGAACAGCCGGACGCAGACCTTTCCAGCAGAAATGCAGGCAAAGTAGCGACTCTCCGTTAAGTTTCTAGCAAGCAGTTAGACATGATTTCCATCTGTTCCTAGAAGACAATCCCCCTGAACTGATCAGTCGCTACTGAGATTCAAAAGGAGATCAAGCGAAAGCCGCATACATTCACAGATTAACAGATTGCACCAGAAAAAGCAGATGAATCAAAAGACATGGAGGAGGCAAAAGACAAGCGGTCACCGAGATGAACGGAACCGCAATGCGACGCGGCCTAAAATCCTTGATCCAAGCTACGAAGCCATCGGTCCAGATCAAACGGAAACTGTACGGGACTCATCCGCGGGAGAGCGCCGGAGAGCAAGATAAGATCGACACGCCGGCTCGAAAACAAGCGATCGTCCATTCATCGACAACAAAAAGCTGCCGTTGTTCAACACAGAGCCGTTCGTAATCCAGGGAGACGCGCGCGGAGAAACGCGCACCTTCGAGCCGCGCATCCGAGCTCCTCCGACGGGGCCGCGCCGAAAACGAACTCGGAAAGGCCGTCCGACATCCGAAGGTCGACGGCGGCGACGGCGCGTCCGGAGAGGGACGACGGGCGCGCCGCCGGCGCCCGAGAGACGGAGGAGAGCGTTCGAGAAGGCCGGAGGCGTTTCGAACGGGAGCAGACGTTGAGGGAAAGCGAGATAAGAAGGAACAGCACGCGCGAGGAGAGAGAGAGAGAGAGAGAGAGCGCGCGGGAGAGTGTCCAGGGGCAATGCACTGCACTGGCATAAGGATGCACGCTCACGATCGATTGACCTTTATAATTACCGAATCGTACGGATCAACTGTAAAAATGGATAAAATGATTGCACTCATTTCCATAATATCTTACCTGAAATTTCCTAAAAAAAAATCGCCTTTTTTTTCTCCTTTAATTCCATTTGTTTCGCGAAAAAATAATTATTTAAAAAATATTCTCATAAAAATAACTATTTGTTTCGCTTTCAAAAATCAATGAAACTGTTTAGACATAGAAGGTGTGTTCGTTTCGCGAAAAAAGAGTAATTTGAAAAATAGTTTCCAAAAAATAATTGTTTGTATTGTTTACAAAAATAAATAAATGAAAAAAAAATTTGCATTGCCCACAAAAATAATTAGATATGGATTGTTATCGATGATAAAAATATTTTCCGTTGATTAATTTTTCTAAACGATATAATCAATTAATTTTTGAAAAATAGTTTTCAAATTACTCATTTTTCGCGAAAGGAACACACCTAAATTGTTGTCGACAATAGAAAAAAATTTCATTGATTAATTATTTTAAGCAATATAGGAAATTATTTTTAGAAATTTTTGTTTTCAAATCCTCCATTTTCTACGAAATAAACGGAGCCTTAGCTTAACATGTTTACTCCATTCTCCTTCAAAATTATTTCCGATGACCAATTTAAGTGATGCTAACACATAAAGACATTAAGTCTCGAATTTTTGTTTTTAAATTAGGAAAAAACATTAAAATGACTCCGTCAAAAAGGTCATTGGCAAAGATTCCGAAACCATTGGAAAGAGTTCGGGAGAATTGATGTGTGTGATTTGAAAAATATTTTCCGATGACCAAATAAGGTGTGTTTGTTTTGTGGAAAATGAATGATTTGAAAATTATTTTCTTAAAATTGATCGCATGTGTCGCTTACAAAAAATGAATAAACAAAAATTATTTTCATCGTTCACAAAAAAATTTAGCAATAAATGGTTGTCAATAATGAAAATATTTTTCATGGGCTAATTATTTCAAATCATTTATTTTCCGCAAAGAGTGCAAGAAAATGTAAAAGTGGGGAAGATTTTTAAATGCTCATAAATATGAGGGAAAATTCCTAATAAGGACCTGAAGTACCCTCATTTTCTCAAATAAGGGCCGAAAGTAGACTTTGTGTCAAATAAATGTCTGAAGTGCCATCATTTTCTCAAGTAAGGGTCTAAAGTAGATTTTGTTTCAAATAAGGGTATGAAGTGGCTATGTTTGTTTCCAAGAATGACCTATCTTTCAATATGGTAAGGGCATTTTCGTCTTTTAACTTTTTTTTTGTCTTTTTTCTTTCTTTTTCTTTTTTCTTTCGAGATGGTAAGCACGGGAAGGGTTGGACGAGGGCCGCCCTCGCCAACAACAGGCGAGGTGACCCTCGCCAACCATGGGTGAAGTCGCCCTCGAAAGCCACAAGTGAGGGCTGGCCTCGCCTGGGCGAGGGTCGCCTTGCCGAGGTGAGACCGGCCTACCTCGATCTGGGCAAGATTCACCTCACCTGTTGCCAACAAGGGTTCCCCGCCCTTCCCGGGCTTCGCCGATAACAAAGAGAAAAACAGAAAAAGGAAAAAAATTAAAATTAAAATTAAAATTGTCTTTGGATGAAAATGCCCTTGCCAGGCCGGAATAAATTCGCTGGCCGGTGACCGACGAGGTCATGCCCTTATTTGAAACTCTCATGACCACTTCAGTCCCTTATTTGAGATTGACATACTACTTCAGGCCCTTATTTGATATAAAGTCCACTTCAGGCTCTTATTTGAGAAAATGATGGCACTTCAAGTTCTTATTTGAAATTTTCCTTAAATATGATAGTATTTTATATTATCATCGTTTGCATTTTCCCTTCCCTTTCTTTTCCTTTTCTATCCTTTCCCTACTAATTTAACGGATAAACATATTTCAGAAAAAAGCTTCATTGGTGCAAATAGATATTCGATATAATGTATTCAGCACAAACGTGCAACCAATTATAAAAATAAATAGTCATTGAAGAGACGAAATTATCTTCATTTTCAATTAAAAATAGTGAGTGAAGGACTCTAGTTGTTAGGTCTTAATGAACATTTTATAAAAAAGAAAAAGAAAAAGATTAATACCACAAAAAAACTCCAAACTGATATAGTTGTAACAAATTTATCCAAATTAATTTTTTAACCATAAAAAATTCTAAATTAGTATGTCTGTGACAACTTTACCCCAAACTAATTTTTTGATCACCAAAAACCAAAAACTGATATATTTATGATAAATTTTACCCTCCGTTAGTTTTTATTAAATTAGACTAATAACACGAAAAACCAGAGACTGGTACTCTCGTGATAAACGGAGAATAAAACCCCAAACTGGTATATCCATCAACAGCCACAGGTCATCTAACTCAGTAATTTGATGTTAAAATTTATCGAAAATTAACGGAAAGTAAATTTATCATAGGTGTATTAGTTTTGGGTTTTTCGTTGTAAGAAAATTAGTTTTGAGCAAATTCATCACAAGTGTATCAATTTAGGATTTTTCATAATATGAACCCTATAAGAAAACAATGTAAACTTAGCATAATTCTACAATCTACCGTTAACACTTGTCATAAAATGTGAAATTTTACTATTCATATATATATATATATATATGAAATTTTACTATTCATATATATATATTTCAACCTAACTGCCGTCAGTGAAATTTCTATAACATCAAGTTTTAGCCTCTTATCCAGTCAAATTATGTAAACTTTGCTTGCATAGAGTCCTTTTAAAAGTGTATAAATTTTAATCACCCCGGGATTTCATGTACTTTAATAATCGTTGGCGCAAAATTAACAAAGGATTTATCAATCAGGTTGCGCTATTTCCACCTTGTATATGACTGAATTCACCCAATTTTCACCAAAAAGACAAAATTGTCCTCAATTATTCAATTGCAATAAAAATGGTGGTCCCAAATTACTTTTCTTATTTTTTAGTTTTTCTATATCTATGTAAGATCTATTTATCATGATTAAGAATTTTACGTGTTTAAAATTTTTAAAATATCCCATGTATATTAAGGGCACTTTTTTTTTTCTATCGTTAGATATTACTTCCATAAAATGTCGTTTCATTGAAAAGAGGGATTTTCAAGAGATAGTTTCTCGATAGACCACAGAGAGAGAGAGAGAGAGAGAGAGAGAGAGAGAGAGAGTTTCTCGCAAATTTGTGATCTCAAATTAATTTACTTTATTTATTTTTTTGGTTTTTCTATATCCATGATCTACTTACATAATTAAGAATTTCACATGTTTAGTTTTTGTTTCTTGTAGATTTTCCATGTATATAAAAAATACTGTGTTTTTTTTTCTATTCTTAGATATTACTTCCAAAAAAATTCATTTCATTAAAAAGAGAAATTTTCAAGAAAACCAGTTCTTTTCTACATCATCGAGCAAATTATGGATAATTATCAAGTAGAGTATAGAACAAATTTGAAATAGACAACTTTTTAACACATTGACTTGTTTATATATTTTTCACTTTTGTTGCGTATATCTCCATCAAACCCCTTCGTATCGATTTTCTTTTACGTATGTGTACAAATAATGGGATGATCACATGAAGCAAAAAAAAAAGAAACCCTTTGAAGATTTTCCATAATAAAATCACAGTAAATACTCCTATGTGAAACTTTTGATGATAAAATTTAATTAAATCAAAACATTGCATAAGATAAGAAATTTTTTGAAAATGCCAGTGAAATATTATTATTTAGATTGACAAAAATTAATATTATCCACGAACTCTTTATGAAAAAATAACAAGATGCCTCATTGTACATAATGTTTTTAGTGTTTTCCTAAATACTATTCTTATGTGCAACATGCTCTGTGTAAAAGCATGTCGTCAATATAGTAAGGAAAAAAGATAACTTTGTTAATATGGTAAATAAAGAGACTTGATATATGTTTTAGACTCACGAAATTAAAAAATAAAAATTTCACCAAAAAATTAAGCTTTTGAGATAAAATAAAACAAATGATCAATAAGTTGTTATAAGATCAATAACGAGCAATAGACTTTTTTCGACCAAAAGAAGAACAATAGACTTTTCAATTGTTTACTGTACGAAAGAATGTCTTTTCTCTTTACTATTGGCGATATGATTTTATACGAAGCATGTAAAGTGTTATAGAAATATCTAAGAATGCACTTTTTTCTAATACACTAAAAACAATGGGTCACGCTTTTTCCATTCATTCTTTTGCCAAAACACTTCTCACCATAATAATCTGACTATATTGCCCTTTGTGAGTGTTGCTTTTTAGCATCCCTCTTCTGCCAATATTTTAAGAAGTGTTGTTACAACTTTTTATGATCTTGTCCTTTTTCTTTTCACTTTTCTTGTCTTCTTCCTTCTCTATGTTCTCTCATGTAATCATTTGCAGAATAGAAAGGTAGAGAAATAAAGACTTTCACACTTGTATAGGCGGAGGAAATTGAATTGGTCCTCAAGACCCCACCTTCTCAAGCCGCATGAGTGAAGGCTCTGTGCTACATGTTTTACGGCAGCAAGAAGATGGTATTTGTGGAGAGTGGCGCATATTGGCGGAGCATGAGGAGGTTGTGCATTTTGCATTTGATGAGCCCAAAAAAGTGGAGTAGTTCGCGCCGATGAGAAAGAAAGAGGAATTGGGAAGGGTAATGGGGAGGCTGAGCGCAGCAGTCATGAGGCATACTCTTCACAAACTGAAACACTTCATCGAAAAACCAGTCTATGCACAAGGAAACAATGCAATTCCCAAAAGCAGCATAATCTTTTTGGCATTTCATTCCCTCCCAAAAGCTGATAATCAATTTTCTCGCTTTCTCCCCAACTGTCGAAATTATCCACTGACCAATTTACTAAATTTCCTCGCAATACATTGAGGTTGAATGAGTCAGATCGATAGCCACAAAGACAGAGGTGGTCAAGGTGGAGGGCTTCGTTGAC